ATAATTTGTAACCTCGAAGGAGGCGAGGTCATGAATGCGCACTGCTAAGGTGTCTCACAATAGGACGAAACGGCCGTCCAGTGATTCCAGGTTTTCCATGGTGGTCTAGCTTTAATTGACTCATGATCTTAACCATTGAAAGTAATATCATTATTAATATTATTACGTATGTGTTTGTTTATTGAGACTGCAATATACATATAGACTGGAATTACACTCTGACCTGTAGATAACAGTTATAATAATTTGTAGCATAAGTATTAGTATTAGTAGTATTGCCAATGCCAATATTATTATTATTTCTGATTAAAAATTATTCCAAATAAGTGTTAAGGAAAATGTAATTTATCCTAAAACTCAAGGAATTAGAGATTTAATAAAGTCATCTACTTGAAATACATTTCTTACATATTTAATAGACAATCAGACGAACAATATAATAATAAATAAATCCTATTCTATACATTTGTATAATGTTCAAAAGCATTCACTTTTGGTCAATAGAAATAAATAATTCCTATTGTTAACTCAAATGTAACTTATGATTTAACTCTGAATTCCAGTTATATGTTTGTGTAAGGATGATTTGATGATGAAAGCATTCGGTAATTTTCACGCACAAATTTTCAGCTTTTAAACCCATTGTTCTGAAATCGAAGCTTGTAGCCGGATGATATCACTAGGCTTCATAATCAAAGTTAAATATATTAACCTGTAGTATGTAGACGTGTTAATAAGATGTATTATGTTGTTAGTGAATCATTCAATATGATATAAAAATATCATCCCGTTGGTTTAAACCATCGCTCTGAGGTTTTACTTTCATGGTAGCAAAACAATAATTCATCTGTTTCGCATTCATCATTTTATACTTCAAAATTTAATTCATTAGTACAACTTCAATTCATACATGCTTGGTTGAAACTCAAATATATTTATAATTAATTATCCAATGTATCAATTTAACGAGGAAAAACACTTGATACTTTTTTATAACCTCAATAAATCGACATAATCTCTGTGATAGACAGAAGTCTTTCCAGTTACAAATTTAATTTCTTGATATCTCATGTAACATACATAGATATAAATGATCTTAATTATTACTCATCTTTATAGCCCACTCAATTTGAATTGTTTAAATTACTTCAAATATTGCAACACTTTCCCCCCTTACACACACATACACCGTAACATGATTTGTTTAAACAACCGGTAACGCGATACATCTCTAGACACACAAAAGAGAATATAATAGAATGATCATTATCGTGATGAAATTTGTAGTAATAAACTTTGATTGCATTAATCATGGAAACACAATGTTTTTATTGTGTTACATTGTGTAAATTTCATCGAGGCAGATGGCTTCTTCGCTGTAATGTTAACAGTTCATGAACAATATAAAGTGTTTCCTTCTCTTATTCTTTTTTTCTTATAAATTGTCACATTTACCCCCTCTCTACCAACTGGGAATTTTCCTTTATTTTTCCCAATTCATTTGTTTTGAGTACATTTTCACATCTAGATTATTACTTCATTTATGTAATTAATAATACTTGTCGCGAATAGCACCTGCTATCTAGTTACAAAACAGTTTTTTATCGGTTTCTTTAAAGACGCTTTTTCTATGTTGTGGTTGATGAATCAGAATTCAAGTTACTAATATGCACAGGTGCTGATTGTGTGTTGATGTAATACAGTCGACTAGAAGTTTTGTGGTTTAGAATAAGTAAAAAGATATATAGTATTATTAAGTGACCTCCTGTTTACTGTTTCTGTCGGTAAATTTTTTTATTGTGTTAGTCATAGTTTTACAATAAAAATGAGATAATTAATCCACAAGAATGATTTCAGTATTATTGTTATTGATATTAACACATACTGAATTATTCAATCAGATTTTATTTATTTAAACACATACAGATTAGTACAAGGATGCATCAAATATCCATGTGCCATACTTCATTATTCGATTTGTGTGAGGCCTGGAATACTGCTTGGGTGCTCAATACGAAACATGTTATTCATTTATCATCTCTCACTCAATGATGTTCAGTTTAAAGTTCTGTCATTTACTAAAAATTACTTCTAAAGATAACTTATTGTTAATAAAACTTAATTTTATTAATATCTAGTAATTTGAAGTTTGAAATGTTCATGTATTTCTAATAATAATAACAATATTTTAATAAATTCTAGCTAAATCAACAAAAAAAGCATAAGTATATTCAGAAGGGGGGATTTGTGAAGATTTTAGTAATTTGATAGTTGAATTCATGAGTCAATGAAAGTTAAACCACCATGGAAAAACTAAAAACACTGGAAGGCCGTTTCGTCCTATTGTGAGACTCATCGGCAGTACATACCCACGATCTCGCCCTGCTGGATTCAAACCCAGGACCTATCGGCCTCGCATGTGAACGCTTAACCTCTAGACCACTGAGCTGGCATCCATTGGTGTTAATGTTTAAACCCAACCAATCAACGAAACTGGCTGGAGTTCGCGCGCGAGACATGGGCTACAGGTTCAAATCCCGCGGGGCAGGGTCGTGGATGCGCACTGCTGGGGAGTCCCACAATAGGAAAAAACGACCGTCCAGTGTTTCCAGGTTTTCATGGTGGTCTAGCTCCTATTGACTCATGAATTCAACTAATAAATAAGTATTTTGAACGGGTTTATTCAAACTGAAATTAACTTAAATCGTAGCACCTAATCTCTACTTGTTTTCAAAGTAACAGTCAAATATGATAAAACAAATCATATTTATATGTTACTGTAATAGGTCGGAAGAAAACTAAGAAGAACCAGTGAAAAAAAGATATGTTGGCTCATAGAATTGTTGACTGTTAAAATGAACTATTTCGATAAGTGTGGACTGCTTGATACGAGTTAAACGATTATTCCAACCAAATGATTGAATAATTTAGATAACATAGTTCAAAATCAACTACAATAACGTAAATGCAATTATTCCCTATCTAAACTGCTTATGTTTCTCATTCCGCGAATTAATTCTTTCTTCTTGAATTGTATGTTTTCTACTTCTGCCACTACTCATAAAACGACTGGTGATATTATTACTACTTCGACTGTTACGGTATTTGTCTCGATAAGTTCATCTCACGGTAAAGATGTCATGTGGTACATTGAATTGATAAAATATGTCAAGATCTACTTTATCCAGTTACCTAATTAGCTTAGCAATAAAATTTTTGATGAACTGAAAGTTCAGAATGGTGGCTGAATAAGTTTACTTTAACAGAAAAATCTATATAACTTTGAACATAGTATTCATCACAAACTAGTAAATTGTGTAACTGTCTTATCTCCGTGTTTGAGATTTTATCCCATTAATTAGCCACGTTAAACATACAGAATTAGGATGAAGTTTTAATCTTTCATTTTTTTTTACTTAGCTCATGATTTATTGTATGATCGTAAACAATTGTTGTCAGTGAGTTCCTACTTCATTCTTAACTCTTCGAATTATTTGTAGTTTATTTTTATTGTATTACCGAATGTCGTTAGAAATAACGATGTAGAAGAACAGATATGCTTAGGACATATGATTAGATATTATCTAAATGTTAATTTTTGCTTACCTGAAATGATCAGACTTCTGATATCTCATAGGTACCTTATGCAAATGCTTTGATGTTACTATTGATCATGATTGCAAATTTTATGTTTTAAAATAGGTAGCAATAAAACTCATTTTTGTAAAGTTATAGAACTAAATAGGTTTATATCGTAATGAAAATGAAATGAAATGCCCACTGTTTTGAATACTGAGTCATTAAACTACTTGATCAGTGATTCAATATGATCATCTATTTCATGGTAAATACTACTTGCTACTAGAACTCAAACACTCTGAATTCGGAATACAGTGGAAATAAAAACCTGCATGGAAGAATATCTTTTGTACATTTTTATTTTATATTAAAAAAAATCATATCTACCGGTAGGACATGGATTGAATAGACGAAAAGAACTCTGATGATTATATAACGGGTAAAAGAGTTCATTCATATGCTATTTTTGCTTAATCAGATGAATTAAAGTAATTTATTGATCACTATATTAAGTAGCTCGATTGATCGTATTTGATCTTGTATGAAAGAAAGAAAATGATAGTTGGGGTAGGGACTAGTAAAAACCTGAGTAGTTGCTGCTTTTCTTTACACTGATGAAGAAATTACGTTTACAGATTTTAAATAACAACTTGCCTATTGAGTGGAATTCATGTGATTCACTAAGTAAAACAGTAACACCGTCAAATGTTGGCCCAGTAATCTAGAGATTAGGCATTCATGTGCGAGACTGGAGGTTGTGAGATCGATTCCTCCTAGTAAGGTGGTAGGTGTACATTACTGAGGAGTCTGACAATAGATCGGATCGACCATTCAGTGTCTCCAGGTTTCCAGTGGTAATCTAGGTGACATCGCTTCGTGATTCGAAAAATATAAAGATATATTAGGACATCCACTCAATACCGAGTTCATCTAACTTGATTTATCATAAAGTATATTAAATAATACTGTAAGCGAAATAGCGTTAAGAAAAGCTCCGTTATTAGTTCAACTCGAACACGTGAATGTCACTGAATAGTGAGTGTTAAAACAGATAAAAATGATATGTAATTAATTACTTATTTCAAAGGCAAATAACAAGAAGCTTATCATGATAAAATAATTAGCTTGAAAATTATTGAAAATTTAACATATTAATAAAACGGTTGCCATTCATTTACACAGTATAACGATATCATGATTTGACCAAAATTTAAAATGTAGACTACTGACTTTCATTCAGCTCATCAATTTAAATGTTTTGTCCTAGACCTGAATTCGACTCTATTCAATGCTTCTTGATCAGTAATGATAACCTGACTGAACATCAATCCATAACATGAATCATTTTGATGAATTGATAACCATTTAAATTATTCTTATTACAACAGGGATAATAACAGAAAGTACAAAACTACACTTACTTTCTTCAAGTGACGATTGCAACGGTGTAAATTGTATTGTTTCGTCAAAATGGGAATTATCCAATTGATTGAGATTTTCCAAATTATTTGACGATGCCTTATAATTATTCATATTGAAATTCAATTTAATAATATTATTATTACCAGTATTAGTATTATGACATTGTATTTCTGGTATAATATGCTTATTTTTATTATTCTGATTATTATTATTTTGATAATATTGTTGATATAACAAGAATTCAGTTAACTGATCTAATGATTGTATATTGAGGTATCATTTAGATTCGATAATTTCATCTCATGATTCGAATTGATCAATGATGGGATAAACTGTTGACAATTATGCCGACGTTGTAAAGAATGTTGATGAAAGTCGTAGGATTGTTGACCCTGTTGTTCATGATGATATTGTCCTAATTGTGAATCAGTTGGATTAGATTTCAGTGAAAAATTTGAATTCGTAGAATTATTGTTATTATTATTAGATAATGCAATAAAATGTTGAGCTAATTTACCAGCTAACTGAATTGTCGATTGTAAATCTGTAATATTCATCTTCGTATTTTGTAGCTGGGCATTAATTTGTTCATTAATAATAGAAGTGTTTCGATTATATATATCATTAGGAAATGTAAAATTGCTCAATGATTGCTTCGGTGATGATTGTGTAATACCGAATTGTTCTTTCATAAAATCCATAATTGGTGAAGGTGTTCTAAATGCACTTGTCCCGTAACTGGTAATACTGTTCACATTATTCTCACTAGGCATAATATCATTTGTAGTGATAAAATCTAAGCCATTCATTGAAGTGTAATTTGGAAAGCGTGTAAATAATTTATAAAATGGATTATGATTATTATTTATATCATTATTATTGGTACTCATGTTGGTGTCCGTAAGATTTGCATTCATTATAAAATTGTTAGTTGAAAAATCACGATCTATATAAATACCAGAAGAATTACTATGCAGCATATTCATTCTGTTATCATGTAGTATATTTGTATTCAAACGTCTTGGTAGTTGTACAACCATTTTTATATGAAAAGTACGGTCATGAAATATATAATAGTCATGACAAAATATAGACAATAAAAATCATACATATCATTAATAAAGTGACTATCATCACCATCACCCCTAGGTTTCCGTCTAATCTTATTTGCTGAATTGAACCAATTTGTAACACCACTTATCTTCATTGGTCTCAGAGATCGCACAACTCTGTATCTCTCCCTCCTATCGCCCCCAATTTTTTATGGAAATACACAGATTGTTGCCCAATTTTCAACAAGCCGCAAGGAATACATTAAACTTAGTAATCATTAAGTATATGGAGACAGAGGGGCGATACAAACAAACACTATTTTCAAGCATGATTACTTCTAAAAGGGTAGAAAAATATTTAATTTATTCCTGACAAAAGTAACCAATCAGATATTAGTGAATAAAATTACTAAACTGTGATTGGTAAGATTTGCAATTCATTGAAAATTGCGCTCGTTATAATCAGGTGATAAATTGATAGTTCAGTTAAAATAAGTTATGTCGATAACACAAATTATTTAATTGATTAATTAATGAGAGCAGGATTCTCCACACTAAAAGCTTTAAGTAAGAATACCTTTTTCCAGAACGTTTGATTTTGCTTCAATGGACGCTACATAATACAAATCATATAAAGTAAGTCGACAGAAAGCACATCATTTGAAAAATGGTTAGAACAATAACGATAATATTTTCATATGACAGCAAGTGGCGATTTGATTGGGCTCATCAAGTAACCAAAATAGATATTTTTTATCAAACCAAATCGCATGTTCACTGGTGTTGAAGAATACGAATAGTCAAATTACTACTTACTGGTCCAACAACAGTTTTGTACACTCTGAGATAAATGGAGATCACCGATTTGATACTACATAAAGTTTAAGTGTGACTTGTTATAGAGTTCTAAGTTAGAAACTGAAACTTTATTGCCAAACTTACCAAATCTTTGGATTTAGTGTCATACTTTCTTAGTGGTCTGTAGTATCAAATCGGTGATCTCCATTTATCTCAGAGTGTACAAAACTGTTGTTGGACCAGTAAGTAGTAATTTGACTATTCGTATTCTTCAACACCAGTGAACATGCGATTTGGTTTGATAAAAAATATCTATTTTGGTTACTTGATGAGCCCAATCAAATCGCCACTTGCTGTCATATGAAAATATTATCGTTATTGTTCTAACCATTTTTCAAATGATGTGCTTTCTGTCGACTTACTTTATATGATTTGTATTATGTAGCGTCCATTGAAGCAAAATCAAACGTTCTGGAAAAAGGTATTCTTACTTAAAGCTTTTAGTGTGGAGAATCCTGCTCTCAATAATTAATTAGTGATCTCTTATGCTCTCACTCAATAATTTAGGAATTATACTTCGTCCAACAAATAATTTAAATATCTTACTATCTCATGAATTCAGTTTATGGTTTCTGAAATTCAACGAGGTGTTGATAATATTTTCACTTGACTAAAAACCAATCAGATTTAGAGGACTGGTTGATGAAAACACTAACGAAATATGTTCAAAACTCAAATAAATAAACAGTTTAGGAGTTGTGGAGATTGTTAAGCTTTTGATTGAAATCATGAGTCAATTGAAGCTAGACCACCATAGAAAACCTGGAAGCACTGGACGGCCGTTTCGTCCTAGTATGGGACTAAACAGCAGTGCGCATCCACGATCCCGCACCCCGCAAGATTCGAACCCAGGACCTGTCAGTCTCGCGCCAGGTGCTTGACCAACTAGACCACTGAGTTGGCATCTAATGGTGTTAATGTCTAACCTCAACCAATCCAGGTTTTCTATAATGGTCTAGCTTCAATCGACTCATGATTTCAATCAAAGACTTAACAATCTCCACAATCCCTGAACTGATAAGTACTATGTGCTCACTAGTGACTAGCTTCGTCAGAAAATTCAACACAAAACTTAGGGTTTTTGTTTTTATTCACAATAATTCCCAACATGTTGTATCAGCAACCTATATGACGAGAGATAATCTATGAACGATTGAATTTTCGACTACCTAATTGAAGCAAACGTTTATATTACTACTGAATTATTTAAGTTTGTCGAGACTAACGCATTAAAATCCGATTAAATGTGATTGAATAATCTATATGTTGTAGGTTAAATGGACCAATTAAATGTATAGTATAAAAAGAAATAAGTTTATTAGTTAGGTGTTGTGATGTATTGCATGTTGAAAACGAATACTTACTTACATACGTACTTACACCAGTTTCCCCAAGTTGAAGAGCATAAGCTCAACACCAGCATTCTCCACCCAACTCTGTCCTCGGCAATCATTTCCAGTCGTTTTCAGTTGCCATTCATTCTTTTGATGTCTGCCTTCGATTCTCGATGCATTGTGTTTTTTGTCCTTCCTCTTTTCCGTTTCCTTTCACGATTCCAAGTTAGCGCTTGCCTCGTGATGCAGTTTGTTGATTTGAAAATGTATGTCCAACCCACTTTCAACGTCTTTTCCCAACTTCCCCTTCAGATGGGAGCTGGTTTGTTCTCTCCTACAGTAGGCTGTTGCTGATGGTATCCTAGCTGAAACAGTAAGATATTCATTACCTGGATTTCATTTTTAATTACCACTGAATTGTTATGAATTTCTGATTGTGAGTGTCATAATCTTGCATACATGACTAACAAAATACCCACCAATTCTGTTACTCAACTCTTTCACATTATTCATAGATCACATAGATTTCCAAATTCCTAAACCTCTAATCAAAACATCAGAAAGTCAAAATATCAAGTACTTTGTATTACATGTATGAATAGCCGTTTTTCATGTGATTACGTGAAATGAAATGTAAGATTGTAAAGAAATACGTAGTAGTAGTAAATTTTAACAGAAACAATAATGCACAAATTTCTAATCTAAATCTAAGTAACATAATTTTAGTTGATTGGTTGTAATTTGTGAACGGTAAAATGTATAGTGAGTTGAAATTAGGGTAACAAAAAAACTACATAAAACAATATTGTTTTCGTGAATGTTCATTGCTAATTACATATATACATATGAACTGATTAATAAGTGTAATCCAAGTCTCATTCGGATTTCTATTTTTTCATTACATCCCAACACTGAGAAATCGGACAAAATGTTCGCTTTTCCCAGTGATAGTAATAATTCAATTGAATTGATCATTATCGTTAGGTATCTTTTCCATTTTCTATTTTTATTTATTTTAATATTGAAAGTTGATCTACAAATGAATCATCTTTCATTATGAGGAAGTTTTTTAGGTTAATGCTGGAGTTATCTAATAACTATTCAAGTGTCCGGTTAACTTAATGATTTTCGTTGACAGACTACCCGGCTACTGTTATACGATTTACTTCTCTGAAGTGATTCAATATTTATTAGTTACAGTCGCACACACTCATAGCTACTTTTGACTTGATCTTGTATAATTATTGTTTTCCATTTTATGGTGTGATATGGTCTGGTGTGCATGTATATAAACCACATATTTCTGAAATATACGATCCATAGAGCTGAGACTGATATTTGTGTTCTGGATCGAACGGGTTGAGTTAAGTGAGAAGCTACTATACAAAGGAAAATCAAGGACGCCGAGCTGACTCAAGTCTCCTGGTGCTAGTTGAAGTATAGTTGGTGTAACACAGTGGAACGGTCATGAAAATCGACATCGTGATTGGCGAATCTGTAAGGTGATGATTGGCAGGGTCGTAAGTCAATACAGAGACCCGGGATAACTGGACAGCCGCTTCATTCCGGTGTTGCACTCCTCAGCAGTGTGCATTCACGACTCCATCACAGAGACTCGAACCCAGAACCTTCGGTCTTGTGTATGAAAGCATAAGCCACTCAGTCAGTCATCAACAGTGTTCTTGTCTAAATTCAACCAATTATTGGAATCATTTAATCCTCATCTACTTTCTGCACTGGGGAACTGTCTTATACCCTATGTGAATTGAACTCCAGTGGTCTTGGCTCACAACAGAATTCCAGAAATTGCGTCTGGAATTTAGTCACTAGTGAGTGAATGATTGAAATTGGCATAAGAGAGTTTCATGGAGATTGTAGAACCAGTTCGTGGTTAAAGTATGAAAATTCTACAATCTTAACAAGTTTTTATATACTAATAATGAATTGATTTAAATCAATTTATTATAAATACATCACATTACTTATGAGTAGTTCGGTAAATCAGATTTCCGTCGTTTTGCAAATCTGATGAAAACATGAACTATTGGCTGAAGTTGTGTTCTCTTACCTGAGTGGGTCAATTGTAAAGCTTTACTTTTCTACACACTTTCAAGGCCACCAATGCAAAATTCCTCTTGATGTTTATGCTGATAGTATAGTTTAAGAGCACAATAAATGCTTTATCATTAATCAGACAAACTCAATGTATGATACAGCTTAACTCAAATCATTTTCCTAATTAACAAATCTTCATGCGTGAATGTGGATGCGCACTGCTGAGGAATCCCATACTAGGACTAAACGGCCATCCAGTGGTTCCAGGTTCTCATTGGTGGTCTAAATTACATGGAATCATGAAGTCAACTATAATTCATAATCGATCAGTTCAATTGTAACTTGTATAGCCCTGAGCTGTATGAACGACTTTTATACCAAGGGCATTAGGATCATTTACATTTTTGAAGTTGATCAATACCATTGAACCGATGTGAGGTCACGTAAATAACCAGCTATTTTCCTTTAATAAAGGTTACTACTTAGATTTCATAAAATCACAAATATTCCTTTGTAGACAAAAAACGTAAATCTATTTAACTTCGAATGATACTATGGTAACATTCTTGAATAGAAAATTTGTTAGATGTTTTTGTAGAAAATTTATATGAAAATCACAACATTCGTGTACTTCATCACTTGTTTTCACATTTAAAATTTCAGTAGTTAAATAATGCGCATCAATAAACAGGATTGTTTATGTGGATCCGTGAGAGTATTTCAGTGTTCGTAATTGTACTC